GATTGTACAGAATTAGAGCATCCATTTTCTCCTTGCTCCACAACCTCCATTAGAAAACTAAAATTATCTAAGACTATATTAGTATAATGTCCTTCAAAGATACTCATTGCCCACCTGTATCTGCTATAATATGCTCTCAGTGATCACAATAAACCTTGGGAATGTGTTAACAGATCATTGCTAGGACTGTCATCAGTTAGCATCTTAGACTAACGTCATGTTGCTATTCATCTACCCAGTGTTCTCATCTGTGTGTTTAAAGAAGGCCTTGATTTATCACTTTCATTGGTTTTGGATCTATAAAACTTCATATAACAACTTCTGTCATTATGGAAGAACACGAGGCACTGTCAAGGTGGGGTGGGCAGTAGCTATCATCATGGAGGAGAGTACTCTCATAGGGTGAGCATGGGCAGTGGCCTGATAGTCCTCTGTGCCCACCTGCCTGTTTTAATGGGTGTTATGCTACACACTGTGTCTTGAACAGTTTTCCTGAGAGGGGACATATTTGGAAGAATCCTAAAGGGACGGGACAATAGCAAGGCTTTATTCTTTACCAGAACACCTCTGACTGTCATGGGCTTGTGATCTCTTGGGTGGTTCAGAAGTCAAGACTTAGAGGCGGCCAATGAGGCTCAGGTCCAGATCATCTGACCAAAAATGGTGATCAGAGTCACAAGGTTTCTTTTTTAGTTCCTGGTTTTAGAAGATACTGGTTGTGAGGGAGGAGTTTGTTCCCAGTGACCTTGAAGTCTGGTGAAACTCGCTATGAATCAGGAGAAACGATGCTCAGACATGAGGATCTTCATCTGGGAGAACAACAAAAGAAGATCAGAAGAGATGAGCTGTCAGAAGAGGAAAAAGGTGAAGCGTGACTGAACGTGAGCACAGACAGTCCTTGAGGTACTACACCTGTACAGATTTAATCCAGAAAGAAGAAATCAAAGGGACATCAGTGACAAAGATGAGCAAGCCACATTGGTGGGAGCCCACGTAGGATGTTCTGTCTCTTCCTGGCTTTCTCTACTGCTTCTGTTAGAGAGCTAACTCTTTATCAAAGCCAGTCTTTCTGGTTACCATTCCTTCTCCACTCCCACAGGCAGTATTAAATGCTCTCTCTGTGTTTTATCAGAATTAATTAGTGGGATCCCAAGGGCCAGAGATCAAAGGGGAGAGCAGATTCTACAGTGTTTCCTCTATTATAGGAAATTATTTACAGGTCCCACCCATAAGGATTAGGATTTTACTTCCTCACAAAGACTAGATACTTATTGTTGGAGGGTGTATCCAGCCCATTTCATACCTAACCCAAGTGCAAGCAGAGGGAGGTGCATAGAGAAAAGTGAAACAAATTCTTTTCATCTGTAGGTCCAGAAATAGCTCACCACTGCAGTAAAATACACGAACCAGAAAGCTGGGGCTGCATTTTGACAAAGGTAAAGAAATGAAGAGAAAGTGTCCATTGACACCAGAGCGTAGCACAGACCTCCCGACAGCCTTGCAAATGAATCAACTAGCAACCCAGGGTCTGAACACGATTACCACCCTGAAGAGGGAAATTATACAAAGGGCTGCTGTACAGCCCTGTGGACCACAGACATTAGCACGAGCCTGATTGTTAGATATTGAAAGTATTAGGAAGAGCCAGCTTTTGAGATGTGCATTCTCCTTCATTTCCTGACCTGGGAGGGAGGTCCTTAGATGTGTTAGCTCATTTTATGATGCTGCTCTGACCTGGACCCTAAAACATCTCTCAACTGTGTGCTGTTCTGTGTCCATTGACACCAGAAATAGAACAGACCACCATATAGCCATATAAATGAATAAAATAGCAACCCAGCTGTATTTCAACTCTGTTGCAGGGATTTTTTTAGTTTTTCTTGAGACAGGATCTTTTTTCTTTTCTTTTCTTTTCTTTTTAAAGATTTATTTATTTATTTCATGTATATGAGTGCACTGTAGCTGTCTTCAGACAGACCAGAAGAGGGCATCGGATCCCTGTTACAGATGGTTGTGAGCCACCATGTGGTTGCTGGGAATTGAACTTGGGACCTTCCTTTGGAAGAACAGTTAGTGCTCTTAACCACTGAGCCATCTCTCCAGCCCGAGACAGTATCTTATATAGCCCAAACGTGCTCCAAACTTATGACCCTCCTGTCTTAACCTCAGTGTTGGAATTATGGGCATGACACCAAACCCAAAGGTTCTGTTTATCCACACCTTTTTTATCTTATGTGTTTATTTTTGTGGTGCTGGAGAGTGAATCCAGACCCTCACACATGCTGGGCAAGCGTTCTACCACATCCTACATACATGTAGAATCTTTAAAACGCTGAAGGAGAGATGGGAGATGATTCAGCAGGTAGAGCGCCAGCTGTGCAAGCATAAGGCCTTGCACTTTGATGTACAGTAGCCACACCTTTAAAGCTAGTGAGGCCCAGGAGAATAACAAGAAAACATCAAGCTTTTTTTTTTTTTTTTTTTGTGCAGCACCCCGCTGTCTCTGTCTGGTAGCACAGCTGGGTGAGTGACTGACTGTTCTCTCTGGATTGAAGCCTTGCCCACAGTACCACATGGTCTCCCCAAGCACCATTACTACCTCTGGTCCACAAATATGTATCATATTCTTTTACCCCTGGGTTTCTTCCACTGGGACTGGGGTTGTTTATAAAAATTTAAATATACAACTCATAAGCTAGTACCCAGGAAAAAGTAAGTTATAATGTAAAAACAAGAGATTTTTTTAAAAAATGTGCACATAGATTTTGTACACGTATTTTCTGAATTGGATCATGACCCAAGGTTGGTTCTCTCCTCCTCTCACACACAGACACACTCTTCCAGAAAAACACTAAAACTTCAGTCTCAAAAATGATTTTCATCATGGGCCGGGAGAGATGATTTAGGGTTTAAGATCACTGGATGCTCTTATAGAGGACCCGAGTTCAATTCCCAGCACCCACATAGCAGTTCACAACTGTCTGTAATTTCAGTTCCAGAGGATCTGACACCTCACACAGACATGCATCCAGGCAGAACACATAAAAATAAATAAATCTTTAAAAAGGAAGGAAGGAAGGAAGGAAGGAAGGAAGGAAGGAAGGAAGGAAGGAAGAAAAGAGAGAGAGAAAAAAAGAGAGAAAGAGATAGATAGGAAGGAAGGAAAGAAAAAGGAAGGAGGGAAGGGCTGGAAATATAAATGAGTGGTAGAGTCTTTCAGAGAATGTTCAAGGTCCTTGATTAAGTCCCCAGGACCAGGAAGGAAAGAAAAAAAAAGAAGAAACAAAGAGATGGCAGGAGGAAGGAGGGAAAATTCTCCAAGTCTGGAACAAGATCTGGACATCATGGTATCTGAGGTATTTAGACCCCCAAGCAGATTGCCTGGGAAAGAACCCTTCCCTGCCCCCATGTCACCCTAAGTTAAAATGTGAAGAGTTCAAATGCTCCAAGCTGGGAAGGGCAAAGCCAGTGCTGTTCAGAGCCATTCAGGCTGACAGGGGCAAGAGGCTGAAAATGTGATTTGTTCACTGGATGTGACCACAGTGGACACTGCGTCCTCACAGGAGTAGAGGGGTTGTCAATTAGATTCCAAAGAGCAGAAAAATTAGTGATCAGTATCAGAATGCCCTGGTTTAAGATGGTGTCTGTCAAAATGGAGCATTCCAGAAAAAAATTAAATCCAGGCAATTATATGAAGAGTCTCCAGGGTAGATTATTATTGTAAGTGACTTACAGCCTTCGTTTCTACTTTAGATGGCTCTAAACTATATCCCCACCTCCTCCCTTTAACTTTTCAGGAGACTTGACTTGGGAAATTTCAACCAAGCTTAAAATGTATCAAGAAGGTAGGAGTAGCCGGGCCTGCCTTTAATCCCAGCACTTGGGAGGCAGAGGCAGAAGGATCTCTGAGTTCGAGAGTTCGAGGCTAGCCTGGTCTACAGAGTGAGTTCCAGGACAGCCAGGGCTACACAGAGAAACCCTGTCTCGAAAACAAACAAACAAACAAACAAACAAAGACAAAAACAAAACAAAAAAAGAAGGTGGGAGTATTCATTATAGACTCAGATAAAAACAAGGCTTGGTAACAGCACTGGCTCATGGGTAATGTTTGTGAGTGTGTAAATATGATTTTAATGGAACCAGAGCCATTCCCACAGAAAGGCCATCAGGACGCAGAACACAGAATTTAATAACAGAGGCTCCCTATGTAGCCTAAGCTGTCCGCACATCCACCATCCTCCTGCCTCATCTTAAGTGCTGGAATCACCGGTATGTATCACACACGTGTCTGGTTCTTGCATTTTAAAATTGCTCCCTACCCCCACACCACCCACCTCAGCCCCTGCTGCCAGAGAAGGCAAAGCAACACAATGTATTTGATGTATTCTTTAGGAATTACACAGTCATTCTGTCTCATTAAAAAACAAAACAAAAACCCAGCCAATACATTATGGACTTGAAGCTGAGGGCAGAGTTCCCTTTTGCATTCTGCTCTGGGTATATAGGAAATAGCACTACCTTGCTGTTTTGTTTTGCCGTTTAGTTAACAATCCTGGCTGTGGTTGGCCTCTAAGCCTAAGAATGTATCCATTCAGTACCTTTCTCTTAAGGTAGCCTGGACTATCTAAGGCCTGAGTAGCCTTAATTCACTGGATGTCCAGTGAATTAGGATTTTTGACAGTAAGGCTGTACCTGACCAAGCATTTGAAATCTCTGAACAGACACTAAGGAGAGAGACTAAGCACAAGCTAACATGAGACAAGACAGGAACAAATGAATCACATCCTGTACCCTGGGCGACAGTGCCCTGTGAAAAAGCAAGAGGTTCACTTATATGCCCTGAGCTCCCCCACCTGCCCTACCCTAGAGTTCAGTCCCCAGCAACCCTGCACCCAAGGCAGCTCCCTTACAGCGGTTCCCTCCACTCCCAGCTCCTGCCCATATCCTCTCCAGTTCCCCCACAGGAACAGAACTAACGCTGGGGACCTAATGACCCTTACCCGCGACTCCACACAGGAACAGAAAGCCCAGCAGAAGTGCCATGGTGGCTGTCCAGTGGGGCTGTAGCACCAGCAACTCAGTTGTCACTCTGGGTCCTCAGCTTCCCTAGGAATCTACTGGCACCAGGATACCCCATCCAACAGGGCAGGTGCATTTGGCCCGTGCCAGCCCCACCCCCATATAAGGTTACCAGGGCAACCTGGCACAGCTCCGGGCTAAGGGAAACTCCCAGTGCTGCTGAAAACAGCCAGATTTCCTGAATTCACCTGTTCAGTTGTTGGGAGTTTGTGCTCCTTGCCCTCTCTGTTCTGGCCCCTTCCTTCCCTCCAGAAGTTGCAAGCCACACTGCCACATCACACAACTTGTCCCACTAAATCGACCTTGTAGGCATCTCCAACCATCTTCTGTCCCACATACTGTTCTCTGTAGAGCCTGGTCTGGAGTTCTAGGGGGCAGGAGAATTGGGCGGCTGCATGAGCAATCTTCTTACAGAGGTGGGTGAGCTAAGGTAGACTGCATGAGATGACTTTTCTCTAGTAAGGTCCCAAGCCTGCAGCTGAGACTTGGGGATTTCTGTTGTTTTAAAGATTACTCCACCAGTGAAGTTGGTCAACTGAACTAGTGAGATTTAAAAGTGGAGCTACACAGGCCCGGCTGATGGTATAAGGTGGGCTGTAGGCTGGAGGTGTGAGTACTGACTAGAAGATCTTCCAGGCTAAGCTGGTCCCTCAGGGTCAATTATGCCATCCTGCTGTTCATTCCGGGCTACTCCTCCTGGACAATATCCGTGTAGCTGCAGAGCAAGCAGCAGCTGTGCTGTGGTAGATAAGAACTGGCTACCATCTGGGTGAGTTATTTAGAAATGGTTATACTGCGTGGGGGAAACAAACATGTTTCCTGCTTGGCACATAGCAAAGAATTAACATAACATACTGGGCAGTGGTGGTGCACAACTTTAATCCCATCCACTGGAGGTGGATTTCTGAGTTCAAGGCCAGCCTGGTCTACACAATGAGTTCCAGGACAGTGGTGGCTACACAGAAAAACTCAAGAAGAAGAAAAAAAAAAAAGAAAGAAAAACAAACCCTTTTTGTTGGGCCAGAAAGGACAAGGGAAATTAAGCAATTAGATTAACTCAGCTGCAATTCTGGCTACACAATAAGTTTATGTGGAGAACACTTTTATTCAAAGACCAGGGGCAGAGCTACCCTCTAATTTAACTGGGTAGAATTCTGTCGACTTACAATGAGTCTGCATATAGATGGATGACGATATGCTGAACCCAGGGAACCATCTCTTAGCCAAGGAAACAATCCGCTGCTGATGCAGCTGTACAGGCAGCCATTGGTGCAGGTGTACAGGCAGCCATTGGTGCAGGTGTGCAGGCAGCCATTGGTGCAGGTGTGCAGGCAGCCATTGGTGCAGGTGTGCAGGCAGCCATTGGTGCAGGTGTACAGCATTTTGGAATTTAAATCTTTACCTCATTCCATTTTATGAAGTGGAAAAAGATTGAGCTGTTTTAACGATAGAGAGCTTATGAATCTCAAGAACGCTGCTCTCTTGAGCGTTGATTCAGTAGATACTGCAGATAAAATTACCCATGGCCTGAGATCAGTACTTCTATTTTGGTCAAGCTTCAAAAATGGCATATATAGCTTGATCATGCTAGCCCTTCTTGTCCTGGGAATACTTTTATTCCTGCCCATCGTGTTAAAGCTTTTCTTCAACATCAACATGTTAGCAGCCAAGTAGTACATGGCTTGAACCTGGAAATGGACCCCCAGACAGTTATTAAATTAACAGGCTGGCAAGCCAAGGACAGGTAAGATTCTGCACAAAACCTTACCAACCTAAGACAGAAATACATTGCTTTTGATAATGCATATATATTCCATGATGGGTAAGGAAGGCATTCTTGTCAGAATGACCTAAGACAGGCTCAGTCTTGTTAATGAAATAAAAAGGTGGGAAAGCCTTTGGGGCTGCTTGGCAGGAATCTGACATTGGCCAAAGACAAGGAAGTAGGCTTCAGGCAGGAATCTGACATCAGGCTAGAACAAAGAAGTAATCTCAGGCAGGAACCTAAATATTGGACTAGAACAAGGAAGTAGGCTTCAGACATGAAAATGACCTTGGGCTAGGGCAGGGAAGTAGGCTCAGATGCTTTGGTCATCCTGATAAGCCCTTAGAAACAGTGATCACAGGAGTGTTCACATAATTGGGTTTAATGCCTTGCTTTTTCTTTGACTATTTGTGTTTATTGTGTTGCTTGTTCCTTATGTGCAACTATTATATTGCTAGACGCTCAACCTAGAACTTACCTTAATACATGCATGTAATCAAAATGGTATAAAAGCATAAAGGAGGAGGGGAGATGGGATAGGGGGTTCTAGGGAGGGGAAATGGGGAAAGGGGATGACATTTATATTGTAAATAAATAAAATATCCAATAAAAATTTTTTTAAAAAGAGAAAAAGATCAAGCATCGAAGTCATTCACTGTCACGCTGTATGAAGATCTTGTGGTGTCTTCTTACTCAAGAGGAAGGTAATATGGAAGGAAGACATGGGGAAGTAGAGATCAGCCAGGCGATTTTGAGGTATGCTTTAAGATACCGTGAATAAGATACTACTTCAGATGTGATGAAACACTACGACCAAAGGTAACTTGAGAGGAAAGTGTTTATTTCATTTTACAGTTCCACATCACAGTCCATCACTGCTGGAAGTCAGGCCGAAACTCAAACAGGGCAGGAATCCAGAGGCAGGAACTGAAGAGGCCATGGAGAAATGTTGCTTGCTCAGTTTACTTTCTTATACCACTTAGGACTACCATTCCATAGTGGGACCACCCACATGGTCTGGGCCCTTCCACATCAATCACTAAATAAGATGCCCTATAGGCCCGCCTTCAGCCCAATCTTACAGAGGCATTTTCCAAGAATGCCAAGGTTGTGGCACAAGTACCTGGCTTTAACTATGTATTCCTTAAGGGGCCAAAACAGGAGCTGGTCAAGGCAGATGCATAAAACACATGCTTTAGACTCGACACCTTTAAGAGGACCTGCTGAACCACAGGAGAATAAGTGGTATCCTTAGGGTGCCTCTGACACCGAGAGCAATAAGAACAGCTTCTAGGCAGAAGTTCTAATTTTAGGATGCCAAGAATGTACCTATTTCTGAATATCAAGTAAGAAAATGCTAGAAACCATTTCTACTTGATGGATGGGTCCCATGTTGTTCAGGTTGCCCTCAAACTCACTGTAGCTGAGAATGGTCTTGAGCTCCTGCTTCTCCTGAGTGCTGGGATCACAGAAATGCAACACTAATCTGAGTACATTCTGATGAGACGCAGTTAACACATGCACCCGGGACCAAAGAGTGATCACCATCCACATGTGATTTGATGGCCCCTGCGCTGTGCTGCCTGGCAATCTGTTTTAACTTTAGCCTGACATCCTCCAAATGCTAACACCAAGGTCTTAAAGCCAAACTGGAGGGAGTCTGGGCCTTTGGCTGAGAGCTAGAGAGAGAAAATGTGCCACATAACAAGCCTGGCATTTAAGGATAGGTAAAATACAGCCTGCTCAAAGTCAAGGCAGTAGCTAATCAGTCTTTGTTCCAGCAGATGTTAGTACAGCCTAGCGTGTTAATTCATCCTAGAAGGTGGTTAGCTTTCTGCCTTCCATCTTCTCAGACAGAGACAAGAAATTCAGCAAGTATGGATGGAGCACTGTCAGTGTCTAGCTACTGAGCCACACTGCCCTGGCTTTCCCAAGTGCACATGCACATGAAAACATGCAGTATAGCAGAAGCAGGAGAAATGAGGTTAGAACAGCAAACTGATGGAAACATCGCCTCCTCTTAGGCTTGCATTGGTCCGAGAGACCTCCCAGGCTGTCCATGTGGAGCTAGAAAGCGAGGGGAAGCTGGGCAGAGCCCCCGGGCCCCAGCCTGCTCCTGAGGCTGGTTTGTCCACTGATGTGGCCATTTGGGAGAGTCCCAGTGGGAGCAGGTGGCAAAGACTCTATGCTTCCCAAAAAGAAGACACCCACATGTCCCCGAACAGCCGAAACCACCCATTTATTTGACTGAGAACATTAAGAAGGACAACAAAATTAAACACTCTTTAATAAAATTCCTATAGAAAACTGAAGTCACAGGGCAAGTACTCAGTTGTGTTTCCCAGGCCACTGAGGACTGAGGGCTCCCACGTGTCTTTGGAGAAGAAGCAGTAGTTTTGTTGGATCCTGACATCCATTTACACAGCAAACCATAGTTCCTATTGCACATGTTAACATCTCTCGTCGCCTAGCACCCTGACTATATGGTACCTCAACAAATAAATTAAAGATTTCCATGTGGCATGAATCCACTTCAATTTGAACTAATACCATTGAAAAATCACATTGTTTTACATTTTAATAAATACATTAATAACAGCTGGCATATTACTAAAATACTGAAATTTAGGTTTTGAGATTATTCCATAAATAGATTCCTTTTCATTTGCTCACTTCCTTGGATACATCTGCTCAAGTATTGTGTTCTATAAAACAAACTCTCAGAGCTACAGAGAAACTGCATTCGTATGGGCCTCGGCGCTGAGGCAGCGGGAAGAACTGGATCCACAGTTAACTGAAAAGTAACTTAGGAAAGAGCTCTGCTTTTGTAAAACTTTAAAACACAGGCTGAAGAATACCAAAGAAACATCTTTTTATATAGAACTCCCACTAGAAATTTTATAAATATATTTGCAGCATATATATATATATATATATTATATATATTATATTTGCCCCAACAATAGATTCTCAGCGAGTCTGGCTGAAATGATGCCATCATGATAAATATTAACAAAATTAGTGAGTTTTCACAGGTTTAAAATATTTCCTTTGAAAAATAATAAGTTCAACATAATCAATGTAATTTATAGCTCACACAATTTAAAAAGGAGAGGGAGATACCTTTCTTTGAACAGTTCCCAGCCCCCCAAATGTGGTAAGTTGTTGGCTGAGTTGCAGTACTTGGTCACAACACTGAAAAGAAGTATTTACACCTCTCTGGTAAAGTACCAAATACTGAAGAAAAGGAAGAAAAGATCCCAAACAGTCCCTAGTGGCATTCCT